TTTTTTTTAAAAAAAAGTTATCAAGCTCTTAAAAAATCACCCGTTAGATTGGCCATTTATCTTAAAATTATAAAATTTTAATTATTTGTTTATACAAATACAGTTTGACAAAAACCGTATAAATCCAAGGTTTAATCTTTGCGCAACATTAACAAAATCAACAAACTTTCGTAAAGCTTTTTAATTAGATTTGATATAAATACATATTTTGAGTATGCAGTTTTGTAGCCCGATCAATTCAAATAAAGCGCAAGTTTAAAATATATCGCCGCGACTTATCGTTGATTTTTAATATATTTTTTTTTTTTGATGAAGGCGGTTCTCATTTTCTTCATATTTCATATTTATTTAAGAAATGAGGCTGTATCTATAAGACTTTTGAGTGTTTTATAATACATCAACAGTTTGTAAAATTCAATGTTTGCACAAAGTAAACTTAAAACTAAACTATTTTTAATTAAAATTAAAATTAAGACTTAAAAATTAAGGCCAGATATAATAAAAGGTCAGGCATATAAATGTAAATACGAACATACAAAATTTGGTTTAATAGTAGAAGTGACAGAGACAGAGAAATGATAACAGTTTAATCGCAACCACATTCCTTGTGCAGATTTAAAGTAATTATGCAATACCTTTCTGAAATTACTCCGATTCATCGCTGCTTTTACGGATTCAGGAACTGAGTTCCAGAGCCTTACAGCATTAATGAAGAACAGCCTAGCTGAAGACAAGTAGGAATATTTGGGGACAATCAGACTTTGATTTCTATTAGACCTTGTTGATTTTAATTTTTCAAAAAGGTATTTTGGAGTTTTGAATTCTATAAGCTTATACATAAATATACAATTTCTAGCCGCTAGGTATTCAAAAATGCTGCATTCTAGAATTTTGTTTTTCCACATAGAAACGTGGTCATATCTTTTGAGGCCGTAAACGTAACGTGTAACGTAATTAAACGCAATATCAATTTTGTGAAACGAAATAGAGTCAAACTTGCTATACACTAGCCCACAGTACGTGATCTGCGGCACTATAAGCTGAATAGCTAACTTTCTTCTTGTATCTAAGGGTGTAAACGACGCTGACATTCTTAATCTACGTAAAACAGCATACACGTTACTTACCACATTATTCACATGGTCAGAACAGCTCAACATAGAATTAACAACAAACCCTAAATTTCTTATCTTGTCAGTCATAATCAGGACGCTATTACCAACAAACAGTTTCGGAATATCTTCCACATGTACTACACGTTTACTAATGGGCAACACATACGACTTTGCAGCATTTAAGCAAAGACAATTATCGAGGGCTCAGTGTGAAATTGCAGACAGGTCACTATTAATTTTAAAACACAAATCTTCAACAAGACCAATTTGACTGGACAAGTACAATTGAATGTCGTCAGCGTAAGCATGGACATTGACATGGTGGCACACAGAGAATACATCATTCACAAAAAGACTGAACAAATGAGGGCCAAGGACAGAACCTTGCGGCACATCCGAGCCAACAAGTCTAGATGTGGAGGAGCCAGTCTTGCACATTACCTTTTGAGTTCTTCCTGCAAGGTAGCTGATCATAAGTTTAACAGAGCTATCAGAAAAACCAAAGTGGTATTTAAGTTTTTTGCAAAGCAGGTCATGTGATTCACCAAGTCAAATGCCTTAGAAAAATCCAGAAGGCAAAGAAGAGATAGGTTACCATTGTCAAACAGTATCCGTATATCGTTAAGTATTTTCAGCATAGCCGTAGAGCAGCTATGACTTGGTCTAAACCCTGACTGCAATGGCGATAATAAATTATTTTCTTGTACAAATGAAGAAATCTGCCCTGCCATCAACGACTCGCACACTTTTGAGAAGGCTGTTAAAATACTTATAGGTCTGTAGTCTCTAGGATAAGTAGCAGTGCTCCTTTTGGCTACAGTAATAATGACAGCCTTTTTCCATTCTTTTGGAAAACATGAAATTTTGAAACAGTGGTTAATGACATGAGTTAGAGTTCTCAGAATAAAAGGCAGCACAAGATTCACAAACTTCAAAGATATCCCATCCTCTCCATTGGCATTAGACTTGATACCCATCACAGATTTCAAAACTTCTGATTCACTTTGTAGGGTTTGTATTTGTGTTACTGTCGTTTATTGTACTGTGTTAATTTCAACTTTGTAATTTAAAAAAATTTTATATTTAAGTGATTTTGTAGTTCAAACATTAAAGAGAAAATTAGCTTACTTCAAATATTTTTCTTGAGCTGTAAACAACATAATTTCATTTGGAATTTTAAATTAAACCTTTTTTCAAATAAATTTATATATTAACTACAGTTGGCGATTCTGCCAGGAGCTATTACGTACTGCAAGCAAGAAATCAGCAACAAAAATATTTCACTAGGAGTTACCCGTGTGCTAACAGGATTATCGTATCAGCGTGTGAAA